ACTAACTCAAATAGCTTTTTACCATGATACTTTAATTATATGTCCTAAGTCTAAAGACCAAAAGGACTACAAGTAAATACCGAACACTAGTTAGAAGATTTATTTTTCATATTGGCATAAGATAGCAATTTTTGACTGGTCGCAGTGACTCACGCCCGTAATCCCAGCTCTTTGGGAGGCCAAGGCGGCCAGATTGCTTGAGCGCAGGAATTTGAGAGCAGCCTGGGTAACATGGTAAAACTCCGTCTCTACCAAAAATGCAAAAAGTTAGCTGGGTGTGCACCTGTGGTCCCAGCTACTCATGAGTTTGAGGTGAGAGGATTGCTTGAGCCTGGGAGGTGGAGTTTGCGGTGAGCTAAGATCATGCCACTGCACTCCAGCCTGGGTGACAGAGTGAGACCCTGTCTCAAAAAAAAAATTTTAAAATGTACTTCCTGTGTATGGTAGGATTGAGAAATTAGTAAAATATATTGAGAATATTGTGAACCAGGTTTTGTCCTATTAGAGAAGGGAATTATACATGGAAAGAAGGAAAATTAGAATGATGTTGAATTGGAAATGGAAGTATTAATATGAACTTATCATTTTAAATATAGTTAGAAACACATGTTATACATGTATGAATTTCTCGATCCACCAAAAGGGCTTAGAAAAGATACCCAATAGCACTGAGTACCCCTGCTTCTAAGATCTTGGGGATTTTTTTTTGTTTTGTTTTTGTGGGTTGTTTCTGATACAGAGTCTCACTCTGTTGCCTAGTCTGGAGTGCGGTGGCATGATCTCCGTCCACTGCAACCTCTGCGGGTTCAGGGGATTCTTCTGCCTCAGCCTCTGAAGTAGCTGAGACTACAGGAGTGCGCCACCACACCCGGCTAATTTTTGTATTTTTAGTAGAGACGGGGTTTCACTGTGTTAGCCAGGATGGTCTTAATCTCCTGACCTTGTGATCTGCCCGCCTCAGCCTCCCAAAGTGCCAAGATTACAGGTGTGAGCCACCACGCCCAGCCAAGATCTTGGTTTTTAAATACCATTCATTTTTCCCTAAAAGAAGCCACGTTTTCCTTGAAGAAAGGTATAATTCCAGGGCTGGAGCAGGAAAAGTACCTCATGAGCATGGATTATCTTATGTCATAAAACAGCTGCTCAAAATGATGGAACTGTGTCCAAAGGACATAAGAATCAATATGAAGGGGACTCCTATTGGTCAAATCTGCAAAAATATGAGCATCAAAATAATGATAGTAACAGAATAGTCATGGAATGAAATGAGAATCAGTGGGCTCATGTTGACATAAATAACTAGGGGAGAAAGGAAAGCTTTTTCTTTCTTTTTTTCTTTGGAGATGGAGTCTTGCCCTTTCGCCCAGGCTGGAGGGCAATGGCACAATCTTGGCTCACTATAACCTCCTCCTCCCAGGTTCAAGCAGTTCTTGTGCCTTACCCTCCCAAGTAGCTGGGACTACAGGCATGCGCCACCATGCCCAGCTAATTTCTGTATTTTTCATGGAACAGGGTTTCACCATGTTGGTCAGACTGGTCTCGAACTCCTGACCTTGGGTGATCTACACTCCTCGGCCTCCTAAAGTGCTGAGATTACAAGCATGAGTCACCATGCTGTCCAGGAAAGCTTTTTCTTATAATAAATACCAAGTAATAAATGTAGAAGAAATGGTGGAGCTATAAAAGTATCATATTGTAGTTGTTATTATAATAATTGATTCTGTCACTTCAGCAGCACATATACTAAAATTGGAACAATGCAGGGAAGATTAACATGGCCTCTGAGTAAGGATGACACAAAACTTGTGAAACATTCCGTTAAAAATAATTTTTTTTTATATGCTAGCTACAGTGGCTCACACCTGTAATCCAGTTACTTTGGAAGGTCAAGGTAGGAGAATCCCTTGAGCCCATGAGTTTGAGACCAGCCTGGGCAACATAGAGAAACCCCATCTCTATTTTAAAAAAAAAAAAAAAAAAAAAAGTTGATTTCACCAATAATTATCAACGGATGCTAAAACTAGTGAGTTGAAAGGATGACAAAGTATATAACATTTACAGTCTCAAAAGTATCCTCCTGTAAATTACTTGTTAATTACAAGGGCAAGAATGGTAACTACAGTGAATTTATTTAGCAGATACCATGTTCACCAAAGTAACTAACTTTGCAATTAAAGTTATATGACCATAATGGAGCAGATGCATCCTGACATCATGTTTTGAGAAAAACATTACTTCTGGCTGGGCATGGTGGCTTATGCCTGTAATCCCAGTGCTGCATTTTGGGAGCTGAATTAGGAGGATTCCTTGAGACCAGTAGTTTGAGACCAGCCTGGGCAATGTAGTGAGACCCCATCTTTACCCCTCCCCCCCAAAAAAGAAGACAACAAATTATTTCTATGGAATTTCTGCCAAAATGTATAACCTTAAACTAATTATAAGAAAATATGAAACAATCTAAAATTAAAGAACATTTTACAAAATAATTAGTCTGTACAAAAATATCAAGATAATAAAAAGTAAGGCTGAGAAACAGTTCTGGATTATAGGAGAATCAAGAGACAGGACAACTAAACATGTGGGATTTCCTCCAGTAGACCCCAGATCAGGAAGAAGGGTGCAGGGAAAACCTATAGAGGACATTATTGAGACAACTGGCTATGTTGGAATATGGATTGCGGGTTAGTTAATAATTTGTATCAATGTTGAATTTCTGGATTTTGGCTGGGCTCAGTGGCTCACACCTGTAATCCCAGCATTTCAGGATGCTGAGGTGGGTGGATCGCTGGACTCCAGTTCAGGTCCTGCCCTGGGCAGTATACATAGCAAGACCTCATCTCAAAAAAAAAAAAAAGAAAGAAAGAAAAAAGAAGAATTTCTGGATTTTGTTGTTTTGTATTTTGAGACGGAGTCTTGCTCTGTCACCCAGGCTGGAGTGCAATGGTGTGATCTTGGCTTACTGCATTCTTCACCCCCTGGGTTCAAGTGATTCTCCTGCCTCAGCCTCCTGAGTAGCTGGGATTACAGGCAGGTGCCACCATGCCTGGCCAATTTCTGTATCTTTAGTAGAGACAGTTTCACCATGTTGGTCAGGCTGGTCTCGAACTCCTGACCTCTATTGATCCACCCGCCTGGACCTCCCAAAGTGTTAGAATTACGGGCGTGAGCCATTGCACCCAGCCAATTTCTGGATTTTGAATAATATCCTGGGGTTATGTAAGACAGAATTCCTTATTTTTAGGAAATATGTTTGAAATATTTCTGGAAAAAGAAGTACATGTACTTTGATCTCAGCAGTTATTGGAATTATTTCTAAGAAAATAATTAGACATGTGCTAAGGTGAAAATACTGAATTATTCTATAAATAATTATAAAAATTTGGAAATATCAGATGATAGTCTATAGGGGATAAAAAAATTAATTAAAAAATAAAAATTTGGAAGTAACCTAGTATCTGATAATAAGGAGTTGTGTAAGTAAATCATGGCACATTCATGCAGAGAAATACTATGCAGCCCTTAAAAGTTATGTTATACAGTGAGATGTTTCCAGTTGTATTAGTGGAGGTTTTCTGGTTGCAAGAAACAGAGGCCACCTTACATAGGCTACCTTAAATACCTGAAGTAGGTCATAGAAACACAACATTTGAGAAACCCCTAGAAAGGAAAGATAACTCTGAGAATCTCAACCTTGAAGTTCAAAACCTTCTTTCTAGGGCATTGTCGCATGGTCATTAAAGTTACACCATTTTAGGATCTGCAGTTTCTTGATTGAGAGTTTAAATTCCAAAAAGAAAAAGAAAAAAAAGGATCTCATTGGTCTAGCTCTTATAAGGCCTATATTTAGTTTACAGAGAGGTATGGAAGGATAGTTTGTGTGTGGATTAGGCCCGTTCTTATACAAAAAGAAACTGTTTTTTGTGCATTAGGAAGCTACTTCAGCTGTTATGTACCTCAGTAAGATTTTGTAAAGTTCTTTTGTTTCATTTTTTTTTTTAAAGGAGAGTACAAAATACAGTGTACAGTATGATTCCGTTTTGTGGAACTATAGAGTGAGCTTTGGGGTGGGGGTCAAAAATCAAGACTTTGGTTTGGATGTGTTAATTTTGAGATTCCTATTAGACATTCATGTAGAGAGCTGAAATTTTTTTGTGCCCAGAGTGGCAAACAAGTAACATCTGCCCTTATGTTTTTCTAGATCAAAATCAATCCTTCTGTTCCTGTGGCATAGAACTGAGGGGTCTCAACCAGGTTTTCTTTCAGACAGTTAAGCAAATCCTAAGCTTCTTTTCTTGAAAAATAATGAGCGTTCTCCAGGCACCTGCACAGCACTCATTCCATTTGAGGCAGGATTTCCTGCCTGGCACAGATGCATGTTAGACTCAGTATTCCGTTCCCACCCACCTCCCCACATCTCTGTCAAACTCTTTGTCTGGTATGTTGAGCAGTCACATATCATTCTGGACTTCATTTTCCTCCTCCATAAAAATTATCCTTGGCTTCTTTTATTTATGTTTTTGATTTTTATTTCTAATTGGTCTAAATCAAATTATAAATAAAAATCACCTAAACATTCACTTTCTTTCTTTTCTTTTTTTTTTTTTTTTGAGATGGAGTCTTGTTCTGTCACCCAGGCTAGAGTGCAGTGGCATGATCTTGGCTTACTGCAACCCCCCCTCCCTGGTTCAAGCAATTCTCCTGCCTCAGCCTTCCAAGTAGCTGGGGCTACAGATGCGTGCCACCACGCCCGGCTAATTTTTGTATTTTTAGTAGAGACAGGGTTTCACCATATTGGTCAGGCTGGTCTTGAACTCTTGACCTCGTGATCCACCCTCCTCGGCCTCCCAAAGTGCTGGGATTACAGGCGTGAACCACTGTGCCTGGCCCCCCTTTACCTTTTTTTTCTTTTTCAAACAAATGAGGTAGTGATAGTTCAGCTCACAGTGGTAAACACTTTTTAAGAGCTGGAAGCTAATAAATGCAAATGTTTAATTTTTCAGATATCCACACAGAAGCAGTTCAGGCCGCGCTGGCAAAGCATAAAGAACAGAAGATGGCTTTGCCCATGCCAACCAAAAGACGATCCACATTTGTTCAGTCTCCTGCAGATGCCTGCACGCCTCCTGGTAGGTTTATCAGAGCTTTTTCTCTGTGACAGTTACTACCTTGATGTTCCTGAAATAAGTTCTGCTATTTCTTTTCTGAGGTAAGAACCAGAATCTTCTCCCCACCATCAGTGCAATGTAAGAAAATTGTGAATGTGACAGGTTTTGCTTTTCACCTCATAAATAACACACAAAAGATGCCTTAAGAGTAAAACTATTCAAAACAAAACAAAACAAAAACTTTCCTTCTGAATTCCAGCCTTTTTGCCCCTCCATAATCCCCAAACTTATATAGTTATAAATACAAGCCAAAGCTTAGGCCAAAATCCTGCTGTGGTTAAATAGCCACTTTCAGTGTCACCGAAAATACCACTTGTAGTCATATATTTATTTCATTTATACTCCTAGACAAAATGCTTCATCTCTGAAGCAGGTATAAGAATAGTTGGACTTGGGACAAAAGTTTGTGTGTCATTAACGATTACGGAAGAGCAATCATGCAAAGTTGTAATAGACCTGCAAAAACGTATACAAGTGTGTTTATGTGTGTGTGTGTGTTAATGTATTTTGTACATATTTATGTATTTTTAAGAATCTATTTTTTATAATGGAGTCATGAGATCAATGGGAACTAGGTATCTTTGTCCCATCCCTGTTCACCATGCTTGGAATCCTTATACCCCCTAAAGTAAATTTAAGTTATAGCTTCATATTTGAGGAATAACTGGAAATATTCTAAATTGTCTTGTCTGTTCAGAATCTTTCCCAAAGTTTTTTAAAACCTTTAAAAAAATTTTTTTTATACTTCTCTAGTGGAAGCTTGAAAAAAATTTTTTTAGATCAAATTCCAGACAAGATCTTGATATAGGCCTTTGGGACTAAACATAGTAAATCTATTTCAGAGCCTCAATATAATGTCTCTCTTTCTACTTTCATGTTACTGGTAATGAAATCTTTAGAAACAAATTTCCCCATACTTTTTTGGCCTAAGCTACTTACTACATATTTGGGGAGATTCCTAGGTTGCCTTGTGGTTGACTTTTATTTACAGCTGTCAAGTGTTTAAGCTGTTTATACTGATCCTATTCCCTGATCCAGATTAATATTAATAGTTTTCTCCTTGGTTTTGGCTAACTTCTCAGAGCATTTGGGTATGCCGTGGGCTCATTAACTGTGTGTGCTTTTTTTCTTCACATCTGTGGTGTCAATATGTTTGAAAGAGAAATAGCTCTGTGGCTTCAAGTGTTTCTCAAAATGTAGTACAGGATACCTCTAGCCGGCTATCACAGTAAGACAGTTTGTGTCTATAATGGTGCATACTTCAAACCTACTCATTGAAAATCTTGGATGGTTTCCCTTCTACATTAGTACAGCACAAGTTGGGTCCTCGTGAACAAAGGGGGCTCTCACTTTGTAGCTAGCTATTCCTTTCTGGCAGATTACACTGCAATGTGGCTGAGGGATCAGTTGCAGTAAATGGCAAAGGGTAGGGAGCAGCATGACATATAGTTCTTAGAAACAATCCCCTCTAAAGCTGTATCAAAGACATGCAGTTTCAGAGTAAATAGGCCGCTCTCAAGGCTTTGGGTGAAATGTGAGAGTGCAGCAAAGGACCTTGAGAATGCTCAAAAGGAGTGGAAACCTTTTTTATTCCCTTTTACAAAAGTCACTGCCTGAGAGGAATTTACCAGCTCTACAAACAAATCGTAGCTGTTTGCTGAATGAGACGGTAGTCCTTTGGAATTCGCTATAGGCCTCTGTATTTCTAAACACTAATGTTCTCCTCTGTCTGCAGCCTTGGAGATGTGGCCTAATGTTCTCCATCACCTTATGTGTTTCAGTAATTTCATGATTGCAAAGATATGGTCCTCTCTCCTAAGACTTGTATCCAGCAGAACAGTAACAAAAAGGTTCTGTACCCATTTTTCTCCTGTTCTGGAGATCTCTGAATAGTATCTGAGAAGCCTTCATGTGCTGTGAGGGACATCTGTGTTGTCAGATAGAAGAGGAATTCTCTCACAACAAGGGGAAACATTGAGCGCACCCTGCATAGTGATTTCTCACACAGCCCCCACATGGGCTGTCTTAATGCTGTCATGCAACAATTACACACATGCCTAAGACAAATACTTTGCTCTAGTGAGGAAATGTGGGAAGAACTCTATTATAAGGCTTCCATTAGCACCTTTCGTTTTAGGGAGTAGAATTTGCTGTTCCCACATTAGGAATCAGATTCCATTCTCTAAGAGCTACCAGTTGGCTGTTTCCAATGCCTGTTGTAGTTTAACCCTACATCAGTATCTCCCAGAACTTGTTACAGCCTAATTCAAGCATGTGGAATAGGTTTTATCTTGCATATCTACTCTGATAGCCACTGAAACACTGAAGCTTACAAGAATGCCAAGGCTGCATTCAAGGGAAGGGAAGCTCAAGAGAAGGGAAGGAGGAAGAAAATTTACGTTAATCGTTGCTGCTATAGGCTGTTTTTTTTGTTTTTTTTTGTTTTTTTTTTAAATCAGCTTCTGGCCAGGGATAAAAGTGACCTAAAAACAGTTGTGGGCTGGGTATGTTGGCTCATACCTGTAATCTCCATACTTTGGGAGGCCGAGGTGGGAGGATTGCTTGAGCCTAGGACAGGAGTAGCTTGTGCAATATAGTGAGACCCCGTCTCTACAAAAAATAAAACAATTAGCCGAGTGTGGTGGTGCATGTCTGTGGTTCCAGCTACTTGAGAGACTAAGGTTGGAGGATCACTTGATCCAGAGGCTGCCGTGAGCCGAGATCAATCCACCGTACTCCAGCCTAGGAAATAGAGTGAGACTCCATCTCTTTAAAAAACAAACAAACAAAAAGTTGTGCCACTCTGGCAGGGAAAAATTAGCCTAACATTTTACAGGATTTAGTTGCTTCTTTATTTATTTGTACACTGCCTGAGATGTCACAACGTACATCGTAAAGCACATCTTGGGTCAAGGCATCACTCTTTACTTGCTGTCCTGTATACATCTGGTTTCTGGGATGACTTACCGAATGCACTAGCCAGTCAGCTTCTTTGGGAGGCACTCAGCAAATAACTGTTTGAATTACTGAATTGATGAAAATTTAGAGCTGTTCTTTTTTTGAGGGATTTAATAAAAAAGGATTAAGGAGTAAAATATGTCAGAAATTTTGGCTTTATTTATAGTATCATATAGTCTGGAAAATATGATAAATAGTTGGCATGGGAAATAATTTGTCTTTTGTTCACAAATCACTCTTAAATGATAAGATGTCAGTCACCCTAAAATTCGCTTATTGATATGTACACTAATTTCTATCTTGCAGATTAGAAAATTTAAATTCTCTAAATTGGTAGCAATCTATGGTTCTTTTAGTGCCTATGACCTTTTTCAGAGTCTTTTAGACTGCTTGAATTACTGCCATCCAGTTCCCTTTATGTGCTGAAATCATTTACTAATGTCATGAGGCAATTACCTCAGCTCTTTCTTTGTAGGAATTCTTTGTGTAACGCTATTACTCATTCATACAGCAAAGCACAATGCAAAAACTACAGCATATATTTTTTCCCTCTAAGCTTTTTCTGTACTCTTGTGGACTTACCCTTTGCTGCATTCTGAGAGTGCACAGATGACCAAATAGACCACTTAATGACCCTAAAGCACAGTAAGCTGTTTCAACTGGCTTAAATTTAGAAGTCTGTCTCACACAGGGCTCTGCTTGAGAGTAGCTAGAGTAATTCATAGGGCCAGAAAACAAGGAGAATTTCCCTTTTTTTTTTTGGAGACAGCCTCTGTTGCCCAGGCTGGAGTACAATGGCTCAATCACAATTCACTCCAGTCTCAACCTCCCAGGCTCAAGCAGTTCTCACACCTCAGCCTCTCTAGTAGCTGGGACAGCAGCTATGTATTGCCACACCCAGCTAATATTTTAATTTTTTTTGTAGAGATGGGGGTCTCACTATGTTGCTTAGGCTGGTCTCAAACTCCTGGGCTCAAGAGATTCTCCCACATCAGCCTCCCAAAGTGTTGGGATTATAGGCATGAGCCAGCACACCCTGTTCTGTATTTCTATATATGAAAATGATACCCAGGAACAGACTGGGATATTATCCTTTTAACCTACTGTAAGAATGCTTCATGGAATTATACATTACAGTATGCAAAGGACTTTCAGGTACTAATGACTGCCCTGCATCATTTGTTTCTCATAAATACGCTGAAAAGTAGGAAGAGCAGATTTAGAGATGAGGAAATAAGCGGGTTCATAGTGGCTAAGTAATTTGCCCTAGGTCAAAAAGTAACTAAGTGTCAGACTCAAAATCTTGGTCGTGTCATCATTCTACTAAACTGTCGTCTTTATTTAGAAAATTCTCTATACTTTATAGCCACGGCTCATGCCTATAATTCCAGCACTTTGGGAGGCTAAGGCTAGAGAATCCTTTCAGCCCAGGAGTTTGAGACCAGCCTGGGTAATATAGCAAGAGATCTCATCTCTACAAATAATATTTTTTAGTTCATTGATAATGCTAAATAAAATAAAATTTTTAAAAATGAGCCGGGCATGGTAGTGCATGCCTGTGGTTCTAGCTACTCAGGAGGCTGAAGTGGGAGAATCAGTTGAGTCAAGGCTGCAGTGAACCATGATCACAGCACTGTACCCCAGCTTGGATGACAGAGTGAGAAAAAAAAAAAAAACCAAAAACCTCTTTTCCTGATAGATACTCATGTATATGCATGGTACTGGAATGAGTATTTTTACAAACAAATTAAATAACTGTTGCCTTCTGAATGCTTATAGTCCAAAATATATATCAGTCTGTTAATTTGAACTTAAAAGAGAATACCTGCTGATTTACCAGTTTGGGGAGTCTTTCCTAAATATTCTAATTTTAACCTAAACCACAAAGTAAACAGAGTTGGCAAATCAGACCTCCATAATAAATGTGCTGTAATTAATAGAGTCAGATCATTTTAATAGTGTATTTCGTGATTGGTATGGGTTACGACCAGTGGTCCCCAATT